CCCCAAAACCCCAAAACCCCAAAACCCCATGTGGTTGAAATAATCTCAAATTAGTCAAAATTTTAATAAACTATATATAGTAAAGTATTAAACTTTATGCATTGCTATTGATAGGTTATAGTTTTGAATTCAATTTAATCTTTATTTTTTGTTTCAGCATCATTTATTATTGGAAATTTTTGGAGATTTTTTCTTTTGACAGCAGCTTTTGAAATTCACCTCTAAAGTTACAAGAATTGTCCCTATAAATGCAATTGGGATACCTATGTATTGTATTATGGACAAATTATCATTGAATATAGCCAAGTTCAAAACCGTTAGTAAAATAACCTGACAATGATTAATAGAGAGGCTTACTCCTGCATAGCCTATACTACATGCAACATTAACAAACCCAATGCTTATGCTAATTAGTATTCCAGATGATATTGAAGTTAGGTATTAAATCCAAGTAAGCTCAACGAATACATGAATTTCAAATATAAGGTGATATAAAAAGCTAAGCACCCCCAATATTCCACAAAATAATAAGAAAACATAGGCAGAACTAAAGGCATCTTCACATCTTTTCATTTATTCCTTGAATATTATAATCTAGATGCCAAAGAAAATGGCACTTATTAGTCCACCTAAAACTAGTTTTAGCAGAGGTACTGATGTTTAAGTGCTATATTCATCTTAGATGAATGAATTAAACCCAGAAAAAAATTCAGGCCTGAATACACTTACAAAAGTTACTGAAAGAATCAGAAGAATGACTCCCAATATTTAAGATTTTACCACAGATTCTCTAAAGAAAAAGTAAGAAAAGGCTAAAACATAAATAACGTTGGTTGAATAGAAGGTATGGCAAAGTCCAGTATTATAATGCCCTTCAAATGCGCCCTCAAAGGATAGAGTCAGAAAATGATTTCCAATAAACTCCAACACACCCCCAGCTATCAAAAGTGTAAGATGCTTCTTGCTGAATTTGTAATCTGCTAAAGTATCATATGGATCTTTGATCGACCAAGGGAAAATAAGCCTTTCTTAATTTCTTTTCGTTTGTATTTTCCTCATTATGAAAAACACAGCAAAACTTATAACAAAGGAGCTTGTTATCAGAGTATTTGTAAAAAATATGTGTTTACTGTGAAATCTGCGGATAAAAGCAGAAGCAGTAGAAAACATGCATGAAAAAAAGGCTAAAAATATGTAGCTCTTGGATTATTACTGTAATTTGAGCTCTTTTTGTCTTTATTACTCTAACTTTCTTTGCAATTTCAGTTTTAACTTCATTGCTTATTCATCCTCTTTGTAGTGAATACTTTCAAAAAACTTTTAGTGTCAATCGTCAAAATAGATTTTCTCTATCTCTACATATGGAAGTGTAGTTCCCCTCATTCAGTATTATGAATTACTCCAACCCATTTCTATTTCAGCTTGTCTTAAAGGAGTTTGAGTGATGGTTGACTTAGAGTCCATTTTATATATTTAACTAATATAGAAATAAAATTTATGCACCGATTATCAAATCTCTTATTAATATATCAAATTTCTTAAAATAGTTCAGTTTTAACTTGGGGTTTTGGGGTTTTGGGG